TCAGATGAAAAGAGCTCTGAACTCAGTAGCTACTCACTCAGTGATAGTCTTCTCATTTAAATTACTCACAGAAGTCAAGCTGAGATAACTGCTGCTGAGAAATAAAGAAGCTCTGACAGATGCAGCTGAATTTATCACAGTCTGTGATACTATATAGCAGAACACTCTAGATTTATATACTCTTGTGAAGATTAAAATGATGAAATTCTTCAATCACTCTCACTCTCAATCAGTTATTAAGATGAGTGACTTTGTCTTTCTTAACCTGGCCTGTAAGAATGAAAAAGAATATACTGTTCAAGAATCTTCAAAGATCTCATCTCTGTGAACTGACCTGTTTGAGATTGTTGTGAAAGTCTCTGATATTGTCTTTCATCTACTACTTTCTCTCAAGTGACACATGTACTCTGTCATTTCTATCATTCATTTGAAAAAAACACTTCTACATTCTGCAGATCTTGAACATTCATTCTCAGAGTCAGTCATTGTGATTAATCAGTCTCAATTTGAAATTGAAAAGATTATCAGCAAATACACAGAGAGAGGAAAAACATATCTTCAGATCAAGTGAAGAGAATATGAAGATCTGACCTGAGAATCTCTCAACATGATTATGAAGAATATTTCAGATCTTGTCAAAGCCTTCATAATTAAGAGACCTCGCGGGTGATCACATCAAGCCTAAGAGAAATGAATAAGAAAGAGAATGTCATGAGTAGAAGTAATAAGAAAAAAGAGGGAAAAAAGAAAAGAGAAGAAAATTCATTATCACTATTTTTAACTACTGACTGTCAAGAAAAAGAAAAAAAAAAGAAGAAAACAGAACAAAGAAAAGCAAGATCAGAGATCTTCTATCTGTCACATTCATCTCAAGTCTCTTATCAATTATTCTCAAGCTCATGTTACAGCTTTGTCTTCTGTTTAGTGAGATGTGTATTTCAGAATGCAATATCTGCTGACAGACTGTCATTCATGAGATTGCTGAAGCATGTCTCACTAGACAGCTTGAAGAAATGATTATCATTGATGATGTCACTCACAACTGAGACTACATTAGCAAATTTCTCAATCTTATCTAACTTCTTTCAAGCAGCCTGCACAGTGTTCAGATTATATTTATCAAGATTAGATAGCTGTCTCAACATCTTCAGATTCTGTGTCATGCAGTTGATAGTCTGATCTCTGAAAGATAAAATTGATGACTGCTACTCACTGCTTATCTTGATATTCTTAATCACTCTGACAGAAGTTAAACTAACATTTCTCTCACTAATTTAAACATGCTTGATAGATTTCAGAGCAACTGAACTCAAGGTCTTCTATTTCAAGAAAGTGAGTATCTTCTCAGCAGAGATGAAGGTCAAATTATTTTCATTCACATCACTATCTTTGATAGTGTCATCTCTGTCTGTATTCACAGTCTTCTCAAACCCTGATACACTTTTCTTAAATAGCAGATTATCAGTGTTTTTTTCAAATCTGTACTGACTACAATAATTTAAAGAATAGCAGACATTCTTATTATCTCACTGACAGTTAATGCAAGTATTATGTCTCTGCTGAGTTCAGTTGTCATCTGAAGAAGTAATTATATACTCTTTGAATCATCTGTGACTCATCATACAAAACTGACAAGATGTGAGAGCTATTTCTCTGCAAGTTTGAAGAACAATAATATCTCAATTAACTGAATCTTTGAGATTGACTGTTCTCAGAGTAATTAAGTCATTATTTATCATCTGTCACTGTAACTTTCATTGCACAGACATTCATCTCAGCAGTTTAATCAACTGCTAACTGAGTAGAACAAAAAATTTGTGATTTATAAACAGTATTTTCTCACTATGTTCTGTAAGTCTTTCAATGATTGATACAGTGTCTGTAAGTTCTTCTACAGTTAAATCTCACATTATTGATACACTCAGTCAGGCTGGCTTCTCATTCTTCTGAAAGTGTAGATCAGTTTTATCATTATAATGCAGACAGTATATACAAGTTATATCTCACAGTCAAGATATCTGATCATCTTCAACAACTCTCTTTCATCTTATTCTTCTCAGTATATTATTCTCTAATATACTACATTACTTCTGACTATCTCTTCATTACTATTTATCTGCTTCAGTCAGCTTCAATTTCTCTTCATCTTTCTTCTTATAAATATCTTTCATCACTGACTTCACTTTCACTTCTATCTGAGCTACTGACTTCATCTTGTCTTCAGTCACTGTCTCTGTATCTGTATCTTCATCAGAGAACTCATGTGTATTTGAAGATCATGACTTCTTCAGCTCAGTAAATGATGTAATAAACTTTCATTTAAACTTCTCTGCAGTTATATCTGAATCTTTTAAGCTTTCATTCTCAGATTTCTTCACTAACTCATCTGCAGCTTTCTGATCATGTAACCTAGTCAACTGATGATAAGATACAACTGTCTTTTCCTCATCACTTCTTAGAACTATCTTAGATATTGAAGAATGAGATTCTGACTCTTCAATTTCATTTGTCTTCTCTGCAGTCTTAAGAAGAGTATTACACTCTTTCTGACTCAATAACTGAAATAACCTTTTCAACACTCTTCTCATGCTATCTCTGTTAAAGTGATTAATCTTATCAATTACTTCTCTCACATCTGATGTTCTAAATACCTTTCTTGAACTCATTGCTGCAAGTTCTCTAGATTTCAATGAAAATTTTTATAATAATGAAAATGATAATAAAAAAATAATAAGAAAGAGAAAAGAAAAATAAGAAGAGAGAGATAACTGATCACATTATATACTTATAAATTATTCACTCATATCACTCTCAGTCTTCTGACAGAAGATCTATCTCTTTATCATTCTCAATTCTCTTATTCTCTTTTATCTGTGTTCACTCTGCATTTTACAGTTCTTTATCTTTCATCTATTTATTCATTCTTATGACTTCTATTATCTTATTGTCTCAGATTCTTTATCTTATTCATATTCATTATTTCATTATCACCTCATTATACTTATATAATATTCATGACAGATAAAGATTCTCTATAATATCTATCATCTTATTGTCTCACACTCTTTATCACTGTGTTATTATTATCTCATTGTTTCAACCTCTTTCTTTACTCATCTCTCACACAAGAAGAGTATTAACTCACATCTGAAAAATGTCTAACTCATTTCTTATTAGGTTTAGCTTTTTCTTATCACCTCATTTTCAGACATTCATCTCTTTTTAAACAGAGAAACTGTGATGTTCACTCTTACTACTTTCTGAGACTTTCATCTCTTTCTTTCTAAGACTTCTGTCTCTTTCTTTCTGAGACTTTTATCTCTTTCTAAGACTTCTGTCTCTTTCTTTCTAAGACTTTCATCTCTTTCTTTCTAAGGCTTCTGTCTCTTTCTTTCTAAGGCTTCTGCTTCTTTCTTCTGTAAAAGTCAATCACAATAAACAAACAAGCATGTATATATATATATATATAGAGGTGTCTGCTCATCTCCATCTTAAAGAATAAGACAAGTTTTACCCTTATATCTGACTCTACGTAGCGGCGTACGCTACATAAATACTTACTTTATTATTAAATTCAAGAATAATTTCAGTATTAAATTAATTTTAAATTAATTTTAAATTAATTTTAAATTAATTGTTAATTAATTATAGTAATAAAAATAAATTCAATCTGTATATTTAAGTAATTAACAATTGATTGAAAATCAATTAATAATTAATTCAGTGTAAATTATATAAATACTTACTTTATTATTAAATTTAAGAATAATTTCAGTATTAAATTAATTTTAAATTGATTTTAAATTGATTCTGAATTAATTATTAATTAATTATAGTAATAAAAATAAATTTAATCTATATATTTAAGTAATTAATAATTGATTGAAAATCAATTAATCATCAATTTAGTGTAAATTATATAAATACTTACTTTATTATTAAATTCAAGAATAATTTCAGTATTAAATTAATTTTAAATTGATTTTAAATTAATTCTGAATTAATTGTTAATTAATTATAGTAATAAAAATAAATTCAATCTGTATATTTAAGTAATTAACAATTGATTGAAAATCAATTAATAATTGATGATAAATAATTGAGTGGTTTCAAATTACAAGAAAAGATGTATTGAGCGAGGTCAGGTAGTGGCACGGGCCGAGGTCAGCTTACATAACGAGGTCAAGTGGCGCACTTAGCGAGGTCAAGTTTTCTGCTTCCTGCAAGAAAACCCCCTTGGCGACCTGGGTTAACCATTCTTATTAATTCTTATTATTATTAATATACGCTGCGTAGAGAAATGCACAGGCTTGGGCTGCCTGCTAGGTGGTTTATGGAGGGTTATTAGGATTTATGATGCCTGACAGAACAAGAGAAGAGGACAAATGTGCGAGTACAGAATAAGTCGGGGAAGGTTTGGTTTCTTTGGAGACGACTGCCCCCCGCCCCCATCCTGTTGTTCTTCGCCTGTCGCCGGGGCGTTCTATGACTCTCCTAGGTGGGTTATTCTTAGACACTCTGACAAAACTGCGCCACGCCCTCTCGTACGGAGTAGGGTTCTCTAGAAGAAACTCGAGAAACCCCGAGGAACGCAGGACGCTGCTTGCTCAGAAATTGACGGTGGGGAACTAACCTAGACCTTTGACCCTGGGTTTACCAAAAATAATTTGGGCTATTTTCAGGTTTCGGAAACGCTCACAGAAAGAAATACCGAGCTGTCATGGGCCTGGGTAAAGAGAGTCTCCTTTCCCCCCCCCCAAAACAGCATCAACTCCAAGACCCCAAAGCAGAGCATCCAGGCCTGGCAAAATTGTCATTGTAAGATGGAAAAATGAAGGCGAAAATTTCAGAGATGTCTCATGCCTCTCCTCTCTGCATGAGCCAAGGCCTCCACTCCTCTATGGGTTTAAACTTCCCATAGTTCCATACAACCGTACATGTGCAAGCAACCTCAACCCTCTTTCGTGCTTTAGCCCCCTTGCTAAATTTCCCACTGCCAGTATTCTCGCCCAATAAGAACCCTTGCTATGTTTTTGAGGGCGAGAGCACCTGGACAGTCGAAATTTTCTGTATGATGGACGATGTGACAATACCAATACATTCCCGGTATGGCGCTTCGCCCAGGGTATTGAAACAGACTTCGAGACGCTGTATTACGATTACACGCCCCTTCTCATCAAAGTTTTCAAGTTCTTTTCATTGGCCTTTTTCTCGTCCAAAATTTCGCCTGGCTTCCTTTGTAGGCTTGCATACCAAAAAAAAAGTCTTGTTCGTTGAGGACCAAATATTCGGGGAAATATTGATTCAATACTGTGGTTGCGGCACAGGGCACAGAGGGACTCTTGATATCCTTGAAATAATCTGGAAGATGGAGAGTGCTTGTTGGCTTGAGATGAAAAGCACAACATCTTAACAATTTCCATCTGCCTGGGCAATAATAAAAAGAATAATAATAAAAGTACGGAGTTACGGAGTGCGGAGCAGTTAGGGGAAAAAACAAAGCAACTTGCACCCCCATCAAACACAACCACCAAACGTTGCTCTGTATCGAAAACAGAGACCGCTTGGCCTGGACTCAAGACCAATTCAGACACAAAAAAAAAAAAAAAAGGTGGAAATTTTCTTTTTCCATTCGATGTGCCAGAAGTTAGAACCTGAAAGCCTCCTCCAGTGCAGTGCAGTGCTCAATCTAAATAAATACGTAGACCCGCTCCCAAAACTGGTACCGACCGACCGAGACCTCAAGAGCAGTTGCGCGGTTATGTATCATCATAAAGACAACTGAAGTCTCCACCTCATTTGCTGCTTTCCGAGGCACTCGAAAAGCTACATACAACAGTTATATCCATTGCACAAGGAAGGGGAGCGCCAGAAGATAAGCAAGTAATAATACCTAAACGGACAAATCATGTTGCGAGGAAAAGCCCTTTTTTTTTTTTTTTTTTTTTTTTTTTTTTTTTTTTTTTTGCTTTCAAGAGTTGTCTCGAGTTGCTAGTGGCAACCGCCTCTGCCGAAAGTTTTGCCTATTACCCAATAAGATGTCATGGAACCAGAATAGAAGCCTGACATGCCAATCTAGCCAGCCAACTACAGTCTGTAGATTGTGTGATGTTTATTAACCATCCCACAATTTTTCACCTAAAATAGGAGAAAACCAAGAGATTTGAGGGTTTTCCCTTTTTTCTTTTTTTTTTTTCCTTTTCTTGGCCAGTCAGGGGTTCATCAGACCAGAAAAGAAAGAAAACAAAAAAAAAAATTCCAACGTCATCTGTCCCTCATGTCATGCTTTTTTATCGCCAAAATATACACATCTCCACCCACCCCAAAGTAATCATAAATACGTAGAGAGGTTACGTCCAACCTTCTTCAGGCTTCAGCTTTTTTTTTTTTTTCTCTTCGCCAGCCGCCTCCAGCCTCCAGGCTTGCATAAATAATATGGGTGGTCAGCATCGCCATCCATGTTGATGTACGGCTGTTTCCGGGCCCAGCTGAAAAAGAGGAGGGAGAGTTATTAGCAATCTATGTTTTATGTTTCCCGTTTCCCCTTCATCGGGCGCCTGCCCCTCCTCTCCTCCCCACCCCACCTCCTCCTTCCTCCTCCTCCTCCTTCAAAGGTTTGCTTGGTAATAAAGATCTCTGGTTCCTATTGCCAACTTGTTGCTTGTGCTAAACTTCAACCCGAAAGGTTATCACGGAACTTGGCAGGAAGGGGCTTTTCGGGAAAAAAAAAAAAAAAAAAACAAAGAGGGAAACAGGACTGAATTGGCGGGTTAGTGTGATGGCAAATAATGGGGGTCACAGCCGCCTTTTTTTTTTTCTTGCTATGACCCAAATGCAACAGAGGATACGGAGTACGAAGCGAAGTGTGCTGAGCTAGGTAATAAAATGTGCAGGCAGCGGCCACAGCCCCTCTTCGGAACAGCAATAATAGGTAGCGGGTAGGTGATCACGGATCACAGCCGCCCTGCCCTCATCAATCATGCGACTGCGCAGAAGAAACATGGGATGGATGGAATGGGGGAACTAACTGGTGGGGTACATACATCGTCAACTTTTTGAGATGAGTTATAATAAATTAATTATAATATTGGGTTTTCCGCATCACCGGATCTAGATATTTCGAGTATGTATGGATAGAGGAAGGAGTTCACAGTATTAAAAAAAACTCCTCGCCAGCGATGTAAGCCACTGGCCGCATCTGCTGATGATGTCGCTCGAAATACGTCCATGTCAACAGATGTCATTGTGCAACAGAAGCCTGTTTTCGTGTAGGGTATGTGCCTAGTGAGTATGTTGGCTGAATATGTCAGAAGAGAAAGTTAAATCTTCACTCTCTGCTAACTGGTGCCTTTTTTACCGCTACATGTTATTCTATTATTTCCTCCCTTCCGTAGTGGAAAAAGAGCGGGAAGGACGGGTGAGATCTCTAGAGGTGAGTCAGGTACTATCCTCTACATACTATATGTATGTACTACATATTTCCGGTATGATTATATAGTAGTAAAGAGCTAAATGATAAGCAATGTACGGAGTATGGTCTGAAGAGGGGATTTATGTTAGTTTCATTTGTTGCTCTGTTTGAGGGTGGGAAAGACGACAGCAACCAGCCAAACTACAAGCCAGATTTCAACTGGGACGAGATTCCACAAATGGAAAGAGAGAGAGAATTCTTTTTGCTTGAGCCTCTGCTATCTCAGGGGGGTTTCACTGATCAGATCACAATGTATGTACATGTACGCGACAACACACTCTGGCTAGGCAGAAGGAGAGAAGAGAGCGGCGGATTAGCATCCGCCACGGTGCATTTGTCATCGTACTAGATATGGTTTTCTCGCGCTGGCGGTCAGTGGGAATCACCAGGGCGGCTGACCTCTTTGATGGCTTCATGTACTCATATCATATATTTTAGTATTGAGTTGCGAGGAAGAGGAGCATGAATGCTTGAAAGATAATGTACGCTGCACGGGGGAAGCGCGGCGGACTCAGAACCAGTTTGCTCACATGTATAACTGCAAACTGCATTATTATTGTCTGCATGTACGGAGGTAACTTACTATATGGCCTTAAAGCCCAAAAACCACACACGCGAGAAGAGAGAGTGATGCTTTTCAGGATGGGTTAGAAAAATTCTGGCAAAGATTTGCAATTTGATAACTTCCCAACCCAGCTAGCTACATTTACTCCGTACCGGATGATATTCAGTCTTTTTTTATACTCCTTTTTCTTACTTTTTTCTTCTTCCTCCCAACCGCCAAAGACCTGTTGGCCCTTACGGCCGTTGCGGTTAGCGATCCCACTAGATCACGTGACCCACCACTATATTATGTTCCTGTAGATAGATCTATCAATACAATCTTCAACTATTCTACAGGTTATAGTCTGAATGGCATGTTTTTCTTTTTAGAATGTTGTATCAACATTTTTAACACAGATAGTTCATCTTTTTTGAAAAGACTCTTACTCTTTATTAGAGATATTTCATTTTCTCTGAATCTGTCAGTCAGCAGATTCATATACTTTATATTTTTAAGAAAGTATGTTCTTCATTGTAGAGAATATCACTTTTTATCTTTTTTTTTTATATATCTAGAAGAAGTAGAGCTATCTCAATATGAGTAATACATCTGTTACTTCAGAGTTCAGCTCAAGACTCAGAATCACATACTTCACTAGATGACTCATTGATAGAATAATCACTTATTATGAGAAAGCTTCTGACTTGCAAGATAAGACTGAGATCAGTTTTCACCAGAGTATGAAATTTAATGATGAGACAACAGAGAAACTTCAGAATAAAGAAAAGCAGAGTTAATATTCATCTGCAGAATCTGTTCATTTCAACTTATCAAATTCTTCATCATTCTTTATCTCTGAAATACTGACTTTTAATGATGATCTGAATCAATCTATCTATTACACTGCAGGCAATCTTATAAATCTTATACAGATAATACTACAGAATCAGATGACTGCAGCTGAAATTACTCAACATCTCACTATATCTGTATAAAGAGACACTATAAGAAATGAGTTACAGAAATACTAGAAGAAAGTTAAATATGTACTAGACATCAAATCAGTGATCATATTTAATGACTCTAATTATGAAGTCTGATGTGTTAATATATTAACTGATACAGAAGTTATTGATGAAACTGACATTCTATTGAGAATTCAACAAGAATTCTCTTTTACATGTCATATCAACTCTGAGAAGTGAAGAATCTGTTTCAAGTCTCTATATAGATATATGCTATCAAGTCTTGTTGAAAATGTTCAAATTACTATTGAAATCTTGAAAGCTGACAATGCTGCAGCTCTGTGAGACAAGATCAATGTGAAATATGCAATATCACTGACAGAAGAATGAGTTAATATCTTCAAGAAATTGATAAAATTACAAGTTAAGAAGAATGATTATCTTACTTTTCAGAGATGTTTTCACTATCTTATTATCTATCACAAGAAGCTCTGTCAGAGCACTGAGAATATATATTATAATCTTTTTCTCAACAATTTACAAGATTACTAAAGACTGTTTATCAAGACACATTTGAATAAGTTTTTCTTCACTGATCAGAAACTCATTGTCAACATTGATATTGATGATTTAATAAAGTAACTGATCAATCATACATTTAAAAAGATTATCACTGAGTGAAAAAAGCAGTCTCAGACTGATTCTGTGACTGCAAAAAAGAATAAAGATAAGGATAAAGATAAGAACAAAAGCACATCTGTATAAAAGTATACTCACTGCAGAAGATATAAACATACTGTTGACAGATGTTTCATCTTACACTCTGATAAAAAGAAAAAGAAGAATGACAAGAAGAATAACAAGAAGAAAGAGAAGAAGAATGACTTGATAAGTTCTCAATCAGCAGCAAATGCAGCAATTACAAAGATTGAGTTCTATTTCTCTTTCACAGTCACTGAAAAATCATTCTCTAGATCTTGATATTTGAATACATGTACAAGTCTGAATATGACAGATGAGCTTCATTCTTTCTCAAATATTAAATCTTTTAATAATAACATCTCTGTCAATTCTGTCACTGAGAGAACTGGGTTTGTTAAGAAGATTAAGACTGTTATCTTGAAGATTGAGAGTGATGATGTTAACTTATAGAATGTTCACTATATTTCTAATATTACAGTTAACCTGCTCTCATTTACAAAGCTTGAAGATCAGAGATTTCAATTTATATTATCTTTCACTATTCTCTCATTTTTCATTTGCAGAGCACTGAACAGTGTTATTTTTCATACAGTTCAGACTGCTCAGAACAACATATATAAGATTAATAAGTGAGAGTTCAATGAGAATCTCAATCATCTGAACAAAACAGTCAAGTATATTGCAATGTCATATAAGTACAATTTTAACTGAAAAGTTAATCTTTCTATGACTGCTGTCACTACTGTTAATAGTGTCAATTCTGCAGATGTGAGAACATAGATATCAAAGATATCAAAGACTCTTTTGAATTAGTATTACAATCTCAGTCACATTCACACTGATGCTATAATTGCTATGATCAAGAATTCTCATACTGAAGTCACAATTAAAGATTCTAAGACTAAGTTCTTTTATGAGAAATGTGTTAAGACTGATATGATGTGAGATTATTTGAAAATACTGATGCCTAGATCTATTCAACTCATTGAGAAGGTTCATATTGATCTTGCAGATGACAGACATACATTGAAAGAGA